AGGATCAAGAATATACCAAAATGGATGCAAGTAATTTTCTTGCTCAAAGTTTAAATAAAGGTCCATGGCATGCACGACTTATCCGCTCATGGGCAAATCAATGGATCAACAATGGTATAATTATTACATCCAATCGTGGTTGCTATCCAAAAACCAAATCTCTACTTTTTCATGAAGATTTCAAATTACGAATTATCAAATATTTACGTGAACATAAATTCAAGTTAAATATTGCTGATTTTATAAAATTTATTGAGAATGAAGTAATCCCTGCACTTGATATAGAGGAAAAAACAAGTATTTCATACTCAACTGCACGTAAATGGTTACATATACTTGGTTGGGAATATAAGAACCATTCAAAAAATATTTATTTTAATGGTCATGAGCGTGAAGACGTAATAATAGACAGACAACAATTTTTGCAACAGTGGATAGAATTAAGAAAACGAATGGCTACTTATCAAGGTGAAAACTTAGATCAGATTATTTTGCCTATACTTTCAGACGGTGTTCTTGAAGTTGTTTCTGTTACTCATGATGAATCAATCTTCTATGCCAATGATAATGCTATTAAAGCTTGGGGTCCAATGGATGAAAATCGATTTCGTTGCAAATCACAAGGTCTTAGCATTCATGTTAATGAATTTCTTTGTGAATCTATTGGACGGCTTCAGCTTTCAAAAGAAGAATGTACCATTAATGATCTACTTCCTGACAATAAGCGGCTTTTATATACTGAGGCTTGTGTTACAATGTATCCTGGTATAAACCGTGATGGCTGGTGGACAAACAAAGATGTGATTAAACAAGTAAAGGAACGAGCTATTCCAATATTTGAACGTACTCACCCAGAAAAGATAACATTATTTATGTTTGACAATAGTTGTAATTATAATGCATTTGCCGATAATGCATTAGTGGTCTCAAGAATGAATATGAAAGATGGTGGAAAACAGCCACTTCTTTGTAATGGCAAAATGCCTAATGGTTCACCTCATATTATGACATTTATAGATGCTAATGGTACAATAAAACCAAAAGGTATTCAACGAGTTCTTGAAGAGCGTGGTTTATGGATTCCAGGCTTGAAAAAAAAATGTAATACATGTATACAACATAACTTTGATCCAATTAAACTGGATTGTTGCGCAACACATATTCTTTCAATCCAGCCTGATTTTATGTCACAAAAAATATATTTACAAGAGGTAAGTTATAATTATATAATTAATTAATATTCAAAAATTAAAAAAAAAACTTATCTTTCTAGGTTATCGAGGCAGCAGGACATATGTGTATATTTTATCCAAAGTTTTATTGTGAACTTAACTACATCGAGTCTTTTTGGGGAGAAGCAAAGCGATATTCACGTCTTCACTGTAATTATTCATTCAATGATCTTAAGAAAGTTGTACCACATGCATTAGCTTCAGTTAGTTTAACAAAAATTCACTGATTTTCACATCATTCTGCACGTTATATAAGTGCCTACGAACTTGGGCTTTCAGGTAAAGCAGCTATCTTTGCAGTTAAAAAGTATCGATCTCATCGTCGAGTTCCTGCAAATGTTTTAGAAGAATTTGAAAAATTAGATATGGTTGTTACATAGTAAATCAAGGCTTAGAAACAAATTTTAATTTGTAAATATCAATCTAGATTTATATATCGAACCTTACATAATAAAAAAACTGTGTGCAAGATTATACAATGTATCTAAACTTTTATTGTGAATGAAGGACATTCTTTCTCCTGATTTGCTACGCAACAGCCCATATAGTTATAACTTTATGCACTGTTATTGTTTTTTCTGGCTAACCCGGAACCAGCAGTCGCGTCATAATTAAGTTTAAGGTAAGTTTTCCTGCTTGAGGCATGTTAAGATTTGATCAGTGGTTCCTTTATTAATATCACTTCTTTCTTAAACCAGGCTTTTTCCTAATCCATGCCACAGTTCCTTTTTCGGCCTTACTGGATTCTAATTGGAGGCAATGGTTTCTCTTTAAGGCAAGTCTTTTTATTAATTAAGGAGATGCATTTATTATCACTCTCTTACAAATGCGATCACTATCCTTTTTATTAGGCTATCCTACTTCTATTTATACTACTGGCAAATTACCCTAAGCTCAATATAATAAATACATTCCCCCACACTTATTTATACGCTCCGTTTATAAAACTCCAACTAACCCACAACACCATCATACATCCTATCTTCATGACTAGTTGTATATCCGTTGCTGAATTCTGAGATGCGCTAGGTGATTCTTTCATTTTTGACTTTTTAGATTCAGCATTACAGTTTGCCGTTACTGGTGGTGGAGTATTGGATGGTTGAGTTTCGCCGGCTAGATTGGTACTACTGTTGGTTGGTTGCTGTTCTTTCGCCAGTTTTACTTTCATTAACTTATTATCGTCTTCCACAATTTCCGTCTCCGCATCACGTGATATCTCTGGACTCCGGATTCGTGTGACTGCTCAACTTCACATTTCTTTTGATTTGGCCAATCCCAGTGACGTTAGCGACTACACAAGCAATCCTATCGATCAGGACGATGTCATTCATCCTTAATCTAGCGACGGTATTCAGTCTCCGCATCATCAACTTTCCTAGGATGTTGCATCGGTGTGGGATCGTCGGCTGCCAGCATGCTACAAGTAAGTTGTAAAGTCTAACAGTTTTGTCTTCCAGTGCGCACGACTGTTCCATCTTGATTACGATTGCCATTATTTTATTGTTCGGGGTGTTGCTAGGGTGCATCACATCACCACTACGCACTCAGATTTCTGGATGGTACTCTCGATCGCATTCCCATATTCGATCAGGAGTTCTTTTACGGGACTTTCTGTCCAAACCGTCCTATAGATCCTCATCATCGTACGCAGTGCTAGTTTTGCGAAGACACCCGAGTATGTCACCGTGAGCTTTGTTCGATACTCACGTAGAAACACTCTTATTACTTGTTGCTATGATGCCGGAACGGTGCGCAGCCTGAACATCTTGTCACCCGATAAGTGCACTTTCCAAGTAATCACAGACATCGTTTCCCCTTCCTGATCCATCATTTTGTGCCCTAGTCGCCCTGATGCGTGTAATATGCTTGACTAGGGTATTATCGCTGGCATCGATGGTACGTCGCATCATCCCAGAGCACACTGTTCCTTGGATCATTCTTCCAGAAGCCCTTTCTGCTCCGATGTAATCCTCACCACACGGTTCTGCCGATATTTCTGTTGATGCCACGAGTTGTTCCCTTGCTAACACTTTCGTTTGTCCAGATCGGTTCCCAGGTCTTTCATCTGTTATGTCAATGGGTAATTTGCCAGTAGTATAAATAGAAGTAGATAGCCTAATAAAAGGGATAGTAATCGCATTTGTAAGAGAATGAT